TTTGTTAAAATGGCTTTTTGTCATAAGAAATACAGAATATAGAGAGTGTCTTTTTTTTTTTGGGCATATATATATATATATATATATATATATATATATATATATATATATATATATATATATATATATAAATAAAATACAGAATACAAGGAGTTTATTTTATTGGGCATATATATATATATATATATATATATATATATATATATATATATATAAACTTTTAAATGCAGCTATTTACTTTCAATTTAAAATCATATTTAGATGTTTTGCTCAATGGATGCCCATCTCATCAAGCAACAGCAAAGGCAATCAAAGTATTATAAGTCCAGAATTACACTGCTGCAGGCAACAATAAGAAAACTTATGAGCTACATACAAAGGTTTTATGCTATATAGCCATAGCAAAATGAATTGAAATTTTGACTAATTTTTTGTTTATTTTTGCTTCTAGATAAAAAACTCATACCATTTAAAAGAGTTAACAAAGTATATGATGATAGTTACAAGACCTTTTATATGCAGCTGCATTTTCATGGTCCTCGTGCATACCAATTTTTAAGAAAAAGTGGACTAACACTGCCACACCTGAGAACATTGAACAAGTAAAATTTTGTTGATCATGATTTTCTGTAAACTAGTATATATAAAGAAATGTATACTGATAGCCAAAATCAATCAATCTTAGTTTAGCGTCCAGAGACTCAGTTCCCCTGAGGTTGGACGTTGTTTTCTTTGCCATCAAGTTTTTGCGCCAATTAGGTGATCAGTTGTATTCATTTCATTTAAATTTGGAGCTTTCATGTCTTGCTCCATTGTTTCTGACCGGAAGAAGTTATAGCAGTTTCCACTTCGTTTGACATGACCAAACCACTGCAGACGGTGTTGCCGGCATTCGTCCTATATATCATCTAAACCAGCACGACGCAGGATTTCGGTAGATTTGATGCGGTTAGGATGATTTGAATAGTCATTGTATGCTTTTCTAGACATGGTTGAAAATGAGCCCGAAAGTGTCTAATCATAAGACATCCGATGCTCACTTGCATTGCTTTGAAAAATGGAAAACCTTGGAGGTGAGACTTAGAATGCACAAAACAATTGATGCAGAAAATATTGCTTTGGTAGACATAGAGAAGAAAAAGTGGAGAGACGTTTTGCATAGGCTGCTCGATATTACATTATTTCTCGCCAAGCAAAATCTGGCTTTTCGGGGCCACAATGAAGAAGAATCTTCATTAAATAAAGGAAACTTTTTTGAAATGGTTGAGATGCTTTCTAAATATGACTCAGTGCTAAAAGAGCACCTAATCTAGTGTCTAATCATAAGACATCCGATGCTCACTTGCATTGCTTTGAAAAATGGAAAACCTTGGAGGTGAGACTTAGAATGCACAAAACAATTGATGCAGAAAATATTGCTTTGATAGACATAGAGAAGAACAAGTGGAGAGACGTCTTGCATAGGCTGCTCGATATTACATTATTTCTCGCCAAGCAAAATCTGGCTTTTCGGGGCCACAATGAAGAAGAATCTTCATTAAATAAAGGAAACTTTCTTGAAATGGTTGAGATGCTTTCTAAATATGACTCAGTGCTAAAAGAGCACCTATTAACATTAAAGCAAAATTCATTCATTCAATGATCCTCTGTAGTCCCTTAAGAGACCGTTGAGGCCGATGGTATTCTTCTATCTTTCCAAAATCCTTTTCTTTCCCTCGCCATCTTCATTGAGCCCAATGTTCCAACCCCCGTCCATTCCGTGATATCATTCATTCACTTCCTCACAGGTCTTCCAACTTTTTTCTTCCAGTCCCTCTTTCTCATCAGTACTTTTTTGATCAGTCTGTCGTCTGTCATTCTGCAGATGTGCCCAAAGATACCCAGCTTTCTTTCCTTGACCCTTTCATACACAGTTTTTTGTCTTCCAAGTTGTTTTCTTATGGCATCGTTTCTTATCTTTTGTCTCCAACTGATTCCCAGCAACTTTCTATAACAATGCATCTCGAATGCTTCCAGTTTGTCTTTGTCTCTTTTCTTCAACGTCCAAGCCTCACATGCATACATCAATGTAGAAAACACACACGCTTCTACAATTTTTAACTTTGTTTTTGTAGATACATTACCGTTTTTCAATATTACTTTCAAAGATGCAAACATTCCTCTCGCGATTGCTATTCTTCTA